AAATGCTTAGGCACTTTAGGAAACTGCGTTTGCAATTAAATACTGGTTTGATTCCCCTTCTCCCCCCACTGATTTATCACAACACAAGAAGATGGTAAGGTCTTCTTTCTAAGCATTTCTGAAATAAAATGCAGTTGAAGATTGGGAAGCACCTGCTACCTGAGCTTTGAGAGACTATCTTTTAAAAATTCCATTGCAAATGAGCACTAACTTTTGATGTAAAGGAGTCTTGAAATTTCTAGCTTTGAGAATTTATTCCAGGAATAGCTTTGTGTGTGTGTACATTCTCAAAACAGCATATCTCCCATCAAACTTTCATAATTTTCAATTTATTAGCATGTACCTCCCAGAACTGAGAGGATGGATGTTGATCAGGACTGGAGCAGTGTTTATCCAACAGCAGCTTCGTTTAAACCTGCCTCTGTGCCTCTCCCAATTCGAATGGGTTACCCAGTGAAGGGAGGAGTACCTCCAACAAAAGAAGGCAACTTAGAACTTATAAAGGTAAGATGCATTCCATTAGTGTGTGGTAACCTTTAAAATTATTATGCACTAAGAATGCACAGCTTTGATTGGAATATTTGTATTGGATACTGTTTTTTATTAATTAATAGGATAACATTCTATTTAATTTCAAAATTAAATGGTAACAAATACATATGTAAGTAACAAATGAACCAGTCGGGAGACTTTTTTAGGATTAGCGTGCTTGTGACTTTCGTAATGGGGCTAAAGTCTTCTGCTAAAACAGACATGAGGACAGTCGTCTTATCTGAATATTTGATGAAGCATATTGTACTACCTTAACAAATGTTAAAAGTGTAATCAGATTTCAGTAATAGCCCTTTATTTATAAACAGACAAAAAGCTATTATTTTTGGTAACTCTTAATATGTCTGTTTCAGATTCCCAATTTTTTGCATCTTACTCCTCCTGCAATTAAGAAACACTGTGCAGCTCTTAAAGGTGAGGGGTTTTTGTTTTATTTTGTCGGGTTTTTTTCTGTTTTGAAAAAACATCTCTCTCGGAGTTCTAAGACAATGCAGACAACGTCCTGTAGTGACAGGACAAGGGGAAATGGGTAGGTTTAGATTGGACATGAGGAGGAAGAAATTTTTTACGATAAGGGTGGTGAGGCACTGGAACAGGGTGCTGAGAGAAGTTGTGGATGCTCCGTCATTGGAAGTGTTCAAGGTCAGGCTGGATAGGGCTTTAAGCAACCTGATCTAGTGGAAGGCATCCCTGCACATAGCAGAGGGGGTGGACTAGATGGTTTTTAAAGAACCTTTCCAACCCAAACCATTCTGTAGTTCTGTTTGGCACTTGTGAGACTGCATCTGGAGTACAGTGTCTTGTTTGGGGAAACCCAGTGCAAACAAGACATTGAAATACTGGAGCAAGTCTAGCAGAGACCCTGCTGTTATCTAAATGAGTATGATTTCTATAAGTACTACTTTTAAAAAGATATATTGTAATAAATTCGAAAAAAAACCACCAGATATTACTTGGAGTGTTTTCTCTTTATTATACAGATTTCTGCACCGAATGGCCAAGTGCTTTGGACAGTGATGAGAAATGTGAACAGCATTTTCCTATTGAGATTGAGACAGTAGATTATGTTTCTGCAGGGACATCTATTCGTAATCCCAAAGCAAGAGTGGTGACTTTAAGTGTAAGTAGTATTTTGGTAAACAGCCTTTGTTTCAAAAAGCCAAATGCTTGGCTTTCTTTTCAGAACATGTGCAAGTACGATATGTTGTAAGGAAATGTGGGAAATGGCTTACTGAATGTCTGAATAAAAAGCAGTGGATTTCCTTAAGTGTATTGCAGCATGTTACAACTGAGGTTGTAACGATACTGATATGTATTTATAAATGAAGACTAAGCTCTGATATAAGCAAAATAATCTGCCTTCTGAAGAATATGTTTCTAGAAATGGCTGTAAGGGCCTTTGTACTGTGTGTCTTGCTTAGACTCTTTAATTTCTAATTTATAGACCATAGAAGTGCACAAGTATTGAAATATAGGTGATATGAATGCAGCACTATTAGTAAGTATTGAGTTGGCAGGCCTTGAGGTATCAGTGTGCATGCATTAGGAGCAGCAGCCTTCTGATCACATGATCATGGGATGCTTGGAGTTGGAAGGGAGCTCGGGAGTTTTCTAGTCTGAATGTAGGTATGAGATCTGACCAGGTTACTTGGGACTTCATCCATTTGGGTCTTGAAAACCTCCAGGGCTTAGAGACTGCACAACCTCTCTGGACAACCTGTTCCAGTGCTTGCCTGTCCTCATGGTAGTAAAGTTAGGATTGCGCTGTGGCTTTTGAACGTGCCTTTTGAGATGGGACTTGAGCCTATCTTAGGAGCAGGAGCAGCAGTGGGGTCAGTGATAGTTGTGTTCTTACTCTGTCAGTGTAGAAGTTAAAATACTGCATGATACCACATGCTCAGACCACTTACACAGCTTCTAATCATGGCAACTTTGAACAGTAGTAATTCATTTTGTTTGTAGGAGTCTCCACTTTCCCTTTATGTTGTAAAATGTTTTGGGCTGAAGTTTAGTTTGGCCTGTCATTGACTGACGTATGCATTTCACGCTGCCATTAGCAGTAACTTCACCCTCCCCTTGTAGTCATTGCATCCTAGAGTTTAGCTTTTTGTCTCCTAATTCAGATCCATGGTCAAGAGCAAGTTTTCACAAATTTGTATGTGTTAGAAATAAAGGGAAATGGAGTGTATCTGTGCGAGTGGAAGCTCCTGACTTCATGCTGGGTTGTGGATGTGAGCAGGAGCAGTCACGTTGGCCCCTCCTTGCTCCCGTATTCATTTGTCTCGCATGGGGTAATACTGACATTTGCAGGCCAGTGCTGGGCTTGGTGTCACAGGCAGGGGGAAGAGCTTGGCTGCTCTGACAAACAGCCTTGAATCTCCTCCCATTAAAAACAGCAAGTGGTGAGAGTATTGTAAATATCTTGCTTTCTAAATTATGTAAAACATTACTAGATACAAAGAACTTGTGTTATGCTGTTGAGAAGATGTTGGACTAGGGACTGGCTATGCTGCACTGGAGAGGATAGTTCAAAGCGATACACAAATAAGCATGTCTGTATTATCCTATCTGAACCTGTCCATTAATGTTAACAGGCCTTGGTACTTGTAAGGCATTATGTAGATGTGTATTATGCATGTGTATTAAAAAAGAGGGGTTGGAGTGGGACACAAAAATAGAACAAATATCCATATACTTTTTTCAGTTACTGGTGTTTTGATCCCAAACTTCATTAATAAATTCTTTCTCTGATTAATCTTCTGACAACAAAATCTGCCTAGAGAGGGGGAAGAGGAGGATTTGAAGGTGCAAACAGATGACACTGGGTCAGTGGTGGAGTTTGTATCAATGAGAGAGCATTTACTGTGCACTCTGTTACAGACTGTGATAAACTCTGGTGGATCTTCATGATAAGATTCCCTTTTTAAAATACGGTTTAAAAGTTAAACCTCTTAACTAAAAAATTATGCCTTTTTCCTACCAGGTGTTGTACTGGAGATGCTAATTTTTCAACTCTTGTAGCCAGTATTCCTTGTCATTAAATTTATTCTAGTCTTTTCCCATGTGGAATTGTCCACATCGTGCCAGGCAGTGTAGTACTGCAAGATGTAAAATGAGACATTTTTTTTAAATCAACTGCTGGTCTTTGTTCTTTTCTGAAATTCAGTGTAAAATAGTCTGCAGCATTCCAGCTAACAATTAGAAGCTGCCCAATTGCTATTCCATTTTGAAGCAAGTAGCCATATAAATATTTGTCATTTTAAAGTGACTTTGGATTAGTAAGAACAATGTATTTTTTGTGATCCTGTAATACAGGCAACAGACTGGTTTTTAGGTTTTATAGAAAAAATAAGACACGTAGAATAAAATCATAGCTCTCTTAACAGTGAATTTCAGGTAATTGCACTGTATAAAGGCAGCATGATACAACTCCAATAATGCCATCCTTTTGAGACAAGTGCTGGGTTGACAGTTGGACTTGATGTTCTTGGAGGTCTTTTCCAACCTTCATGATTCTATGATTTTAAACTGCACTAGGAATAGAGCTTTTGTTGCAGCTTGGCCGTTGCCTTAAAGACTGGATGTGTCTGACAGGTCTGTTGGAATTAGACTTGACAAAATGTGAGCTGGGGAACAAAGCTAGGTGAGCTCCTGATCACCAGTATTACAGGCATGCATAGTAAATGAGCATGGAATTCCTTAAAAAGGAGACCTTTTTCGTGTAGTCTGTGGAGTATGAATGTTAGTGTTTTTTTTCAAGGTTAAAAGTTTCAGTATTGAAATGCTGTTGTCTCCTCCCTTGTCGTATTTAGGTTTAGTACTTCAGTTTTCTATTTTTAGTAGTAAGGTTTTTTCTTTTCATTTATTGGAGCTTTGAATCTCTTTTATTCCTTCAACTTTAGTTAGTTTCTCTGATGCAGGTTTCTTGATTTTTGAACAGTTCTGTAGTACAGCACAGAGACAGTAGTAAGAATATAGAGAAAAAACAAACAGTGGACAAATTAGTAAGAGACTACCATTATGTCTTCATGTTTTTAATACTCCTCGGCAACTCTCATTTAATAGAAACTTATGTTTCCAACACTACATACCTTCAGACTGTTAAGGCTCACAGCCTTCTTATTTGCTATTGTGTGAACAGATAGGTAAAACCAGCTTGCTTTACTTTTCGTACTTGTTATTGCATATAGAAACTAGCTTCAGACTAACTTCTTAGAGGTTTGTGTTTCTGCAAGTAAATGCTAGTTATTTGTTGTAGACCTTATGTTTGTGGGTTTTCTGTTACTGGAACAGAAGCCAAGCCATTCACACTTTTGCTTGATCAATTATGTGAGATCAAACAGTTGTGGTCCATTAGATTGTTACCTGTGTGCATCTGTGCATCTCCCAGTAATGACTTTCAGAATTCTGAACTGCTCTCTCTTGAATTGCTGTCTTTCCTCCTCTTTTGGATGCTTGTTATAAATATCTCGGATATATCTTAGTATGAGCATAACTGAGCCATGTTGGAAGAAAAAAATTCTAAAAAAAGATTAATTTTTATGTCAAGTACACATGAATATGAATTACAGCTACAAATTAAACTGACAGCTTCTTTTTCTTCTGAAAAAAAAGTTTGAATAGAAATATTCTCCCCTGGCCTTTCTGGTATTTGAAAATAAATGTATTGTTTTAATATTCAGTTTATACTCGCCTTGCATTAAGAATTCTGACGTGATACAATCAGGAGAAATTCTGCAAATGCATATTTTCCTGAAGTATTTTTAGGGTGCATAGGTTGGATTTATCCAAGTAATGAAAGGTGTTTTCTCTTGTACTTGAAGGTTAAACTTTCTAACCTGAATTTGGATGACCATGCAAAGAAGAAGCTCATTAAGCTTGTAGGAGAGCGGTACTGTAAGGATACAGATATGCTCACAATTACAACAGACAGGTACGGTTACAAAAAGGAAAAAAAAAATGCCTGTAGCAATGGTCGTGGTGTAGAAAGGGCTGCGTGTCTTCCAGTAATATCAATTATTGTCTTAGGAAATTATTATATTTTTAGGGCTAAAATATGACATAAGGTAAACATACTAATGCTCCTGTTACTAACTGTTAAAATTGTAATGGACAAATCACGTGAAGTCAAACCTAGTGTTTGTTAAATATTGTGAGTTATTGAAGCTCTGCATTTAGAAGTCTCGGTTGTTATTTTAAAGTAGTTGTCATGTTTCCCAAGTGGGCTCTGTGAGTTTTAACAATGATCGAAAGAGTTTCAGGCAATAAAAACAGGGACATCGGTGACCAGACATTTCTCAGTGTTTTGGTGTTCTAAATATAAACAAATCACTGTAGCTATTTACAGTTATGTTCAGAAGGCTGCATGGGAGAAACATGTTTTATGTGTTAAATTCTGAAGAATTTAAGAGAATATATATGTATTTATAAATTCACAGTACACTTTTATTTCGCAGCTGCTTTCAGTGGCAGGAAAACATTGTTGGTAGTCTTTCCTGTTTGTATGTTTTTATAGAATTTTTTTCCCCCTCTTAAATTTTATGTCCTTCAGTATGAAATACTGTTTTATTTCTACATAAAATAAATTAAAAAATGGATAAAATTGTGCATATCTTTTTTTGACTAGACCTGGAAATCTGGGTAGTTTCCTGGGACCGCCTGTGCTACCAATAGTTTCATTTCCCTGGCAAGGTTTATTTTGTGGATAAAATGTTAGGATAGCTGAAAGGAGCTTACCCTCTAGAGTGTTTGTGAATGGTCTCATGCTGTGTTCCAGAAGAAATTCTTGATGTGCCTGTTGATATTTCACTTTCTTGTAGTAAATTCTAAGGCCCAAGCTCTGAGCTGCATCTGTTTCTTTAATACAGAATTTTCCAGGCTGATGTTTAGATTACTTTTGAGCTGAGACTCTTTCACTATGAAAGAAATGAGTCAAAAGCTTGAGTCCTTAAAGCTTATTTGCTAGAATAGTTATAGTACATAGTCATTCAGATGAGTGTTTTTAGAGTGTCTCTGGTGTAGTCTCGCATGATTCAATTTGTTTTGCATCAAATAGGGGTGTGAAGGAGCCTACAGGAAGAGGTGAGTGTCAAAAAGAGACAGGAGGTCATGGGTGATCAACATGAAAGAGATTAATGTCATCAAGTTCTCAGCAGAAGGTTTTGATGACTGGTTTCAAAAAATGCACTGTTTTTGCAGAATTCTGTCTTATCCCAATAAATTTTGCTGGTAATCCCATTTTGACTTAACAGCTACATTGACTTAAAATTTTTTTCTTCAGTCATGCACTAGATCTCCTGTTCTGAACTGTATTTCATGGCTGTTTTCACCAGTCATCGTTCTCCCTGCAGGTCTGGGGAAAAAAAATTAGATCAGGTTTTAAGGGAGTTCAGAGTAACATATGTTTGATTCCACTGTGGCATAGAGGGCAAAAAAGTTTTTAATGTTTCCTGAAAGTCTGTAAATTTTTGTATTTTGTACATTTTCTCACTGACTTGCAGATTCCCATTCTTCCATGTTCTTAATACTCTTGCTTTCATGATGTTATTCTTAATGAAGCGTAATTCAGAAATCTGTGTGAATCAAACACATTACCCTACATTACAAATTAGAAGTGTTGATGGTAAGTTGAACATTTTATTCAAAAAGATATTCCAGTGGCTTGGTTTCAAGACTAGCTTTGTTTATGAATTTTCAGGTGTCCGCTGAGAAGACAGAACTATGATTATGGCATACACCTCCTGACAGTTCTCTACCATGAATCTTGGGTAAGCAGTTGTGAATCACTCACGCTCTATATCTAATGCATGCACACTAACATGCACTCTCATAACTTGCCAAAAGTTCCATGACTGTGTGCAGCTTAATGTAAGTTATCGTAGATTCTTTTCCTCTTCCACTTCACTTTTCTTCAAATTCAACCAAGATGAGTTGCTTATGTTTGAAGCTTATTCCCCAGTCAGAGTGCATTTCTTGAACTTGACAAGTGTTGTTCTGCTGTTTGTATACAGAGTTTTTCTATTTTCAGAAGTTCTCTAGGTTTTCACCTTAATAAGAGATTCTTTCCCAACACTTTTTCTCATAACAGCGAGCCTAAAACAAACCATGAGCCTAGCAGAAAACCTGGGCTGCTTATACACAGTATTCAAATATGTATGGAGTACATCCAGAGGAATGGTGCACCCTGTGATTATTACCTGGTATCTGTGCATTTGTAACAGTGACCTTATTTAAAGATGAAAACAAGTCTATTTCAAAAAAGCAAAGAGGTGTGTTTATGGACTTTAAAGCTATGAAAACTAACATACAGCACAGTATCTATATTTTGCCCGATTCCAAACTCTTAGGTTACTTAAAGCCTGTCTTTTCTTGAGCTCTTCCTGGGCTGTGGTAAACCATGGCTGCAACTTTGAAGTATTCTGCTTCCTGAATGCTCTCTCACAAATCTTACCACAAGCTGGAAGGAGTGAGGAAAAGCGACATCATCCCCACCTTCAGTTGTTCTAGGATTTCATTGCATCAGGGTTAGCGTCCCGAAAGATATGGAATTACTGTAACTCTTCATCTAAATATTTCTACCAAAGCAAGTGTAATGTAAACTGTTCTATAACCATTCAGGATGTGATGTATTTGGAATTTTTCCCAGTAGTTCATTTTATTAAATGGTTATACATGTGAAATATTTAGTGTAAGTGTATTAAAGATACTATTCCAGTTTATTGATAATTTATTACAATTCCTAAGTAGTCCTCTCAATACAGTAAGATATCTTTAGACCACAGATCTTTCTTCTACAGTGAATTCTTCACACTTGTATTTTTGTGGTTAATTCTGTTGGTTGTAAATACCATCTTCAACAATTTTAAAACCATTTTTTACAGAAAAGAAGTTAGCAGTCTGAAATGAAATTATTGTTCAAAACCCATAGTTACATTTTGGATAAATTAACTTTGTTTAAAGGTAGTGTGTTATTAGTCACGCTGTTTGAGACGGACAGTGAAAGCCTTCATCATCAGTATATTTCCATAGGTGTACTCTTTTAATTAAATTGTAGCTGATTAGCTACCAAAATTCACACTTACTGGTTTCAGTTGTTCCATAGCATTCAAATCAAATCTCCATATTTAGCATTTTTATGAATTTCAGTGTTCTTGATTATGATCATTGCAGTGATGACCTAAAAAAAACATAACGAGGAGGCTGAGCTCTATTTCCTGTTCATTGGAAGTTACCTTGAAGGATGTGCTTCGTAATAGTAGAGTGCAGCAAATTAACTTAAGCTTATACTAACATCTTAAAAGAGACATTGACTTTAGATTTCAAGTGCTCTGTGCACATGGATATTTTTCTCCCCAACAACATTACATTGCATTACACGGCTTAAATTAACGACAGATCAGTTTCCAGTGTTAAGCAATGACAAGAGAGCTAGACACTGCTCACTTTATTAATTCCAGATGAACACCACATCTGTCCTTTCCTCTAGCATTACTTAGTGATGGAAGACAGGGCTATACGATACTGCTACATGAGTGTTCAGTGTGTATTGAATATGCACAAGTCTCTTGCCCTTTTATTACCTTTCAACTTCCATGTTAATATTTGATGAGTTCATCAATCAATTGTAATTGTCTTTGGTGTCCATGAAAAATTAATTGTCTCCTGAGACATGTATTTTTATTTTGTGTGACATGTTTTGGTTTGTGGGTGTATTTTTTTCCGTGATCAGTGGTAATGCCTTTTAATAAGTTGCTGAAAGGTATTTTGGATACGTTTTGTAAACCATAAGCAATCAATGTGGTTTATTTTAACTTGTATGAACTTTAAATATTGGGGGGAGGGAAGGGTGTGGGAATTGGCCTTCCATGTAGACAGCAACATCAGTCCTGTTTGCAGAACTAATTGCAAGATTTGAGGACTTTCCTAGCAGAGTAGTGCCATATGATGTTTTCATGTGTGTGCTTTGTGAAATTCCATAAAAAGATGAGGGCAGTGTTCCACTCCTGCTAAGTGAAGGGAAAGCTGGCTGCACGTAAATTCTGCCCTCAGTCCTGAAAACTTTTCCTACTAGCTCTCCAAACATAGCATAATTCTCTAATTTATGTTAATAACTGGGTTAGTGAATTTTGTGAACCAGCAAGCATGTGAATATATAAAAGAAAAAATTGTCTGCTGATATACATCAGCAAATGTAATTTCAAGTGTAATTGTATTTTGATTGGCAGTGATGCAAAATTCTTTTATTACAGTTATGAATTAGAGCATCCAAATAGTTGAGGAATCTGAAACCTTTTTAAAAGAATGGGTGTTCTTTGTGGTTTTGTTGGGTATGTAGCGAACTGTGTGCTATGAAGCTCCATTGTGTAGAGATGCATTTCCAGCAGAAAGTTACTCTTACAGTAATGAGTATGACGAGTTTAATTCTGGCTCACCTGTCTCTTTGTGTGCATGCTTAGAAGGCAAAGTTTATCACTGTGTCAACAGCAGCCTCTGTATTGCAAATTTTCTTGTATGCTTTTCCAGTGTCAGCCTCAGTAAAAACTCAGGGCATCCACAGCTCACTAGTTCCATTGCTATTGCAATCAGAGGGCTCAGGTGGAATTAGTTTGCAAGAATCCTTGTTGTAATGGAGTTACAGTTGTAATATGCAACACGTATGTGCAGACAAAATGGACAGGAAAGGGAGTGGGGGGCTTACCAGCAATTGGTACAGGTATTGCTCTACCTCAAGGCTCTGACTACATTGTTAAGAATTCTTTCTTGGATTGTGGTGTGGGGAAGAGAGCTTGTTTGCATTTAAATAAATTAAGAAAAGGTTATCCAAATCAAATTTGGCAGACTGGTTTCTGAAAAGTACCCCAGCCAAAGTGAGGGGAGCACCTTGGTAGATTAATGCACTGACTAGCGGTTTTGTCGTCTCTAACCTGATAGCAACCGATGGATGATGCAAGAAGGCAGACTAGCCGAATTGTGAAAGGCTTTGAAGATAAGTTAGAGGGCTGAACCTAGTGTAGAAAAGCTTTCAGAGAAGTTCAGGTGTTTTCTATAATCATGTGTGTAAGGGAGCCCTTTCTGGAATACATCGGGAAGGAAGAAAAAGGGGAGGAGTTGAAAGGAAGGAGCAACTTTATTTTTGATGTGTCTGCGTGTCTGTTTCATTTTCTTTTTGAGTGTTAGAGGAAGAAGCACAGTTTCCACACTGTGGGAGAGAAGGATAGGGGAAGAGAATTGTTGGACTGTTGATAGATGGTCAGAATAAACAGTTAAGATGAAGAAGCTGACAAAGGTGACAGGAGTTCAAAAAGGTACATTCGTGACTTGGGAATGGAGAGAATAGCTGAAGATGTTTGATTACTTGTAGGAGAAGTGGGATACTACTGATTAGCATTTGGGTCTACATAATCCCTACGAAGACAGTGTGCTGTTTCTTGAGATGGATCTCAATAGTGGGAGCAGTATTAATTTAGTTGTAGTCTGTTACTTACGGAGGTGCACGAGAAGCAAAAAGAAGATCCCAGAGTGATGCATTTGGCAGCTTAGTTTTGATAAATGCAGAAAGGTGTCAGGCACGTGAGTTCAGTTATCTTTAAAACACTGAGATTTTAAAACTTAAGAGTGTTCATTGATTTTCTTAGTTTAAAATACTTGGAGATATTTTGCTTCATTTCTAATAGTTTTCAGAAAATTGCGTTTCATTAGCTTTTCAAATGTATTCAGTAGATACCTGACTTCCACCTCCTGGCAAGAATTGAGCTTGCCTGCTTTGGACTTTTTCTGTGATTCCTTTCAAATTATCCCCCAGGATTGTGCCTGGATTGAATCAATGAAAAGGTAAGATATATTAGGTAGATTGTTAAACAGCAGCTCAATCAGTTGTATTTCTGCTACCTTTAAACAATTGTACTTCTTGAATGCTGTAACATCATCCCTAAAGCTGAGTGTATTTTTATGGTAGTAAGTGGTTTTTAAAGAGTAGGAATTTGCTGCCCTCAAGTGGTTGAAAAGATAAAGTGATTTCTTCACACTCAGCCCGGATTAATAGTTTATCACTAAAAAGTAGTTCAGTTATTAGTTGAAAGCAGGAAGGGAGAATTGGAACAGTTAATTTTCCAGCAAGGAAAAACATTCATAGTCATTATAAAGGGCAGGAATCTGAAAAAGATAGACTAAGGAGGAAATAACGTACAGTTGTTTTAAACCATTTAAGACTACAGAGAGGTGCAGCAATTTTCCTTGGTCCAATTCCACATGATTTTCAACATACAGAAATGCAAGATGATGGAGCGTGGGGGATATCATCCTGCATTACACAGCTGAGATCTTGAAAGATTAGTGAAAAGTTGCCCTTGCGTTTTCTATTCTGCAGTGTATTTCTATTTATCTGTGAATCCCAAAGCTGTGTAGTTTGAATAAATTTGGGGAAAGTGTCCCACAAAGCTTTTGCATTCCCTTTTAAGTAGAGCATACAACTGCAAGGCACTGGTGGGGTGAGGAATCTGTGTATGCACGCAGCTGAATGAATAGTTTCACATAACAACTGGTAATCCTAAAATCCATTGTGTAGCTTTTCTCTAGACTTTAGTAAGCACTTAAATTGTACTGTGTTTTTTTCAGCTACAATCATTGTAAGCCATTACAAGTAAACGTAATTTTTATCACTTCAGGTTCACAGAATCACAGAATGTTTGGGGTTGGAAGGGACCTCTGTGGGTTACCCAGTCCAACCCTCCTGCCGAAGCAGGGTCACCTACAGCAGGCTGCACAGGAC